TGTCCTGCAGAGAAGAATAGCCCCTCATTACATCCAAAATAGGAGAGAGTTTACAAATATAGAAGCAAAGTACATTGTCTGTCAATATGTAGGCTAATTGGCTCTTAGCCCTTTCTGCTCCTCCCTGGACTTTTTTTATCCACCTATTTCCTTTGCTTCACTCTCTCCTCTTCCTTGACCAGGCTGCTTATTCCTAATCCCCTTTACATTTTACCTACATTTCCCTTTATTGAATCCAGCACTGGATGGACATCCAGCCTGTTACTCTCTCCACTCCTGCACTTACTCAGTCTCCTCCTGCTTCCTTCTCTCCCGCTTTCCTTATTTCTCACCCCCTCCCATCTCTTCCTGCATCACTTATTCCTGTGAATTCCTGTTGGTTTCCTCACACCCTATAAGATCTCGTCCCTCAATTTCTCTCCGTCATCTTCAGATTATTTCTCTGCATTCTATGCTTTACGTGTCCTTTCACTTCTTTTTGTATCTCTTCTGGTAATGGGATTTTTTGCTTATAGTTTTCTGTTTAGTAGCTTTGCCTTTATTCACACAATGATGAGTTTCTTAGAGCAGGTTGGGCTTAGCCCTGCTGAAAGCAGTTAGTCATTGAATGTGGTTGCCATTTTAAAGAAGATAAGGTCTCAACCATGGTAACCAGCAGTTGTGAGACAGGGAAAAGCTTTCAAAAGCACTTGGGGTCTGGGAATGTGTGATAGAGTTGTTCCTAATTTGCACATCGTCAGCAGAGTCCTTAGAGCCAAGATGTGTTATCATGAACCAGTCTGATAATAGTATGTTGTTCCAAAATAAAGTGACTTTATTATGTGCATTAATAATGTAATTAGAACCGGGGGAACTCCTCCAACAAGTAATTAGACTGACAGTGATTTTACTCAAGGTCAGTGCTAGCCAGAGAAAGAGAAGTCATTACATATAATATGAGCACTTTGGAGGAAGTGGGTAGCACGCTGAGCAGCTCCTGTCTTCCTTGGTGGCTGACTGGCTTTCTGGCCCTGTCTTCTTTCCGTTTGCATCTCAGTGACAGACACACGAATGTCAGATGAGATTGTGCACAACCTGGATGGCTGCGAGATCTCACTGGTAGGAGATGACCTGGACCCAGAGAGGGAGTACCTGCTCCTGGATGGGGCACTGCTGCAGCAGCGGGGCCTGGAGCTTGTTAACACCTCTGCATACCTGACCATCACAGGTATGTCCTGCCCTTGGCCACAGCAGTCTGGTTACACCTTTCTCACTGCCTTTCAGGCATGTCTGGGAGAAGCACGTAACCCAGGGCTAATTAGAGATGTGTAGGCGTATTTGAGAGACGCTGAGATGTAACCATTTGTTGACCTCCTGGCTTTCATAAGTCCCAGGCCATTTCCCTGGGGAGCTGTCTCCTCCTCCTCCACACAGTACTAGGGCATGGTGTCTGAGCTCTCATCCAGGCTTGTACCACTGCTCCTGATTTACTCCATGTCATGCATACTGCATGACATGACTGGGGGACAGCACATCCCATAGGTTGTGGACTGGTACAACACTACCCAGAACAGTGCTGTTGCTTTTGATTGTTCTTTCCCTTCCACTTGTACTAGGAGTGCAGGCAAGGATTTCATCAGGTCCTTTGCAGCCAGCTCTGTCTATGCTTCCTTCCTAAAATGAATGAAACCAGCATTGCCTTGGATTCTTCTACAGCTCCTAGTTGCTACAGGGTTATGATGCCAGATGACTTTGAAGCAGGAGCTTCCTTCCAGAATCACAGAATCATGTTGGTTGGAAAAGACCTTGAAGATCATCCAGTCCAACCATTAACCTCACAACTGCACCAGATCCCTCAGCGCTGGGTCAACCCGACTCTTCAACCGCTTCAGGGATGGGGACTCCCCCCATGCCCTGGGCAGCCCATTCCAACGCCCAACAACCCCTTCTGCAAAGAAATACTTTCTAAGAGCCAGTCTCCCCCCACACCAATTCTCTCTTCTTGTCTCAGGTGTGGAGAGCATCGCAGTTTACGAGGAAATACTACGCCAGGTCTCATACCACATCAACCATGGCACTGCTCTTTATGAAAGGAAGTTCCACCTGTCCTGCACTGAGATGAACGGACGCTACTCCAGCAACGAGTTTACTGTTGAGGTACAAGATCAGTACATGCAGAGATAGGTGCTTGTGCATGTGTGGAGAGGATGTGGTGGATGGGAATGCACACAGTGCAGAATGTACCTTGAACACAGGGCTGAGTCTCTCTCACTATGGTCTTTCTGCAGGTGAATGTCCTCCACAATATGAACCGAGCTGCTCATCCTAACCATATTCTGAGTTCCCAGCAGTTCATGCACCGAGGCCATCACTTACCCCCAGAGCTATCTGGGCACAGTTTGGCAAGCACCCATAACAACCCAAGTATGTAACGCTATTTCCTTTGGGTTTATACTTTTAGGTCAGGATGCTGATTTTCTGATACCTTGGTAGAACCTATAGCAGAGGATTCCTTTCAGACTCCCTATACCCATGTTGTTATTATTATACTGTCCTGTCCTACTTGTCATTAGCAAATGGACTGCAGTCCATGTCAAATTGTGTTTTAGAGCTTGGTGCAACAATCCTCTTCTGGTGTGTTGTTTTCTTGATGTAAAAGCAGTCTGAAATCTACACCTGATTTAAAAGAACTGTAAGCTGGTACGATTTCATTTGTGCACCTCGCAAAGGTGCTGTGCAGGCTTGGGTACTGTAATTTCAGAAAGAAGCTTCAACAGCAGGAGAGAAACAAGAGAATCAAGACTGCCACTGCTCTAAAAAAAAGAGATGGGACTAGGTGGTGGCCAGCAAGGCAGAAAAATATATACGGCACCACACAAACAAGAGGAGGATTCTTGTCCCCAAAACAAGGAGAGAGAAGCCTGAAAGCTAGGCTAGATATGAGATTTGCTGGTTTGTGCTAGCAGCTCTGTGCCTCAAGTGTGGCTGCAGTCCAGCTGGCTCCTCCTGGGCAGTGAAATCTCTAGGACTGTTACAGAGGACCATGCGTTGGTTTTGGTCCCCTGTTGTAGGGAACATGGAACACACCTTTGATGCCAGTTTTTGCTGCGGTTTCCCACAAGCAGCCAATTCCAGGCTGGTCCAGTCCTGCAGCTGGCACTGAGTCACTGCAGGGGCAGCCCAGGTATGTGCTGGGAAAGCACCAAAACCCAGCCTTTGTCACTCCCTTCCGCAGCTCTGCCTCATCGCAGCAGAAAATGAAAAGTTGTCCCTGCTGTATGGGACCACCCAGAACAAATCCATGGAGGTCTGGAGAGATTTTGTAGAGAAGGGGGTTATTTGAGGAGTCAAGGCTTGGCCTACAGGCCTAGAACAAAGGGGTGAGAGTTGGGTTAAGGGTCTTAAGTTAATTTCAAGCTTTCTTGGAAAAGCCAGGCCTTGACTGTGGCACTTATTAGGCCATCATAGCCCTCTGCCTCATGTGCAAAGCAGACTTCTTTTGGCTTCCTTCTTTCTCCACTGCTTGCACAGAAATCACACCCTCTGAAAATCATCCTTGTGCCCTTAGAGGCTCTCCCCAGTATACATTTCTCTGTCCCAGGAGGGGGATACAAATGGCTGCTGTGCAACATGTCCTAGTGATTTCTGTAGATAAAGATGTGCAGTCTGCAGGCCGAGCTGACATCAGAGGATGCCTGGACCTAGGCATCCTGAAAGAACATGCAGGTCTCAAGCAAATGGACAGCAGCTGATGGCAGGAGCTGCCTGTGCTCAGAGGAGCAGAAAAGTCAGGACATGTTCCTGCCTAGACCAGAAAGCTTGCTGGCGTCAGGTCCAGGGGCGGAACCTTTTTACTGGGCTCTTTGGCTGGCTTGGTGGCGGGAAGCTTTTTTTTCCGTAAACCAGCTAGCGGTATTTCTCTGTATATCGTTTGTCTTGTTCACTGTTATTGCTGTTTATTGTTGTTATCATTGCTACAATTGTTTTTCAGATTGTTCTATCACTCTGTTGTATTAAATTTGTTATTTTAGCCCAGGTCTGTGTCTTAACTTCCAGCCCGACTGGCTGCGGGTCGGGGAGGGGCAACGGCAAGTGCTCTCTGGTCCCGGCAGGACGTAAACCTGCACAGACTCTAACCACACCTTCTCATTTTCTTTCTTCAACAGTGGTCCCCAGCGCTGCGACTGTCATCATCATGGTCTGTGTGGGCTTCCTGGCACTCATGGTGATCCTTGGCATCCTGCGCATTCACTCCCTGCACCGGCGGGGAATGGGGCAAGAGGTCCCTGGGGCTGCTGAAGGCGGGCACACGAGCACCAGAGGCAAAGAGAGCGACATGTTCTGGGACGACTCAGCCCTCACCATCATTGTCAACCCCATGGAGGTGAGGAGCGGTCTCAGCAGCTGGGGCTGGGCAGGCAGCTGGGCTGCCAGATCCTTCCCCTCATCCCATGTCTCACCTCCCCAGTCCTACCAGAGCTGCCAGGAGAGGGCGGGAGAAAACGGTGAGAGCAGAGCTACCGAGGGCATGGAGGATGAAGATGACAGCACCGACTCGGAGACATCGGACTCCCTGGACAGCAATGATGTGGATGACCGACACATCATCGGCAAAAGCAACGGCTCTCACTGCTACTAGGAGCTTTAAAACACCACTCCAATGGATCCCTCCAAAACATATGGCTGGAAGGAGGAGGTGTCTTACTTTTAACTTCTTCCTTTCCCTACCACGTACACACGTACTACTCCCTCATTTGTCATTTCTGCCTCCCACAGTCCTTCATCTTCTGCCATCCTCATTGTGGACATTCCCCACATGGCTGACCCCCCCATCTGGCTCTCTAGAAAAATGTGTGAGGGCACTTGTGCATGCCTGCGGCACAGTTCAAACTATAATGAGGAAGGGGCTTGAAAAGAAGTTTGGAAGGAGGAGCCAGCTATAGGGCTCACAGTGGGGTCTCTCACAACCCTTCCCAGATATTATATATATATATATTGTATATTTTTTCAATGTTGTCGTCTGAGGTTTATTCTCGTTTCACGCAAAAAAAAAAAAACCACTGCAGCTTGTGTCGCTTTGTAAAATTGTCGATAGTCCTAAACTAAATGAATGAAGGTAAGAAGGATAAGGAAACAAAGTGGATTTTAAAATAAATGGATTTCAAATAAAATGTTCAGGGCTTCTGCAGTTTTTCACAACAACCAGGGAAAGAAAGAGTCAGTGTAGCCTCTAATGTGAGACAGGAGATTGTCCAGAGCATGTATTTACTGAAATTACTGCCTCATCTAGGGGAAGGGTTACATTTTTTAGTGTGTGTGTTGGAACAAGAAAAACATATCACCCCTAACCCTACACCCACCTTTTTGAGAGTCAAAATACTCTTTGTAAACACACAATGTAGCCTTCCCCAGGACATGGGACAGAAGCACCCCAGCCTGTCACAGGCAAGTGTAACACATGCAGCACACCGAATTCTTGATTACAGAAAAAGAAATAAGGCTCTTTCCATACATTTAGTGTATCATCAATAGAAACAGGCCAAGCCCTCAGCTTCATCCATCTTTTCATATGATCCACTTTCTTTATCAGCATAACAGTATTTTTCACACCAGGGATGCCAGCTTGTAGAACAGCCTCAGCACTTCTAAGGAGGTCTCCTCCTCTTTCTAGCGGGGATGGAAAAACAGATACTGGCAAAACACGGCATGAGCCCAGTACCATGAGTTGTTAGGGTAGTGCTTCACAGCAGGCTGTGCTGCTTCCCTTGATGTAACTGGTCTGATTATTCAGACCCTGCAAGACAAAAAGAGGCTGTCAGCTGCCTAACATGTCTCAGGGCAATGGCTGCAACATGTTAAGGACCCAAAAGAAGATTCTGCAATAGGACATTTGCTGACAGACAAGGTTAAGAAATCCCTGTTGGCAGGAAGGCAGCACAGTAGGTGAAAGTGGAAGAGACCCTCTGAGGGTGTGAAATGCCTCAGTACAAGATCTCTGCTTGCTGCAGTTCTCTCAGATGTCTTAGATCTAGCCTGTCTTTACGTATAACTGTGCCCATGTATGGTTGTTACTGGGTCCAAAAGTAGTGAATATGCTTGAGGCTAAGATACTCTATGTTTTCTTCTTTGTCTCCTTCCCAGTAAGTTCCATGCCCTTATTTCATACAGGGAGCTTACAGCAGGCACTGTCAAACCAGTGCCCTGACATCTTGAAGCACCAGAATAATTCAAGTCTCTGGAAAGCCTACATTGTGCACACGGGAGCCAAAAACATTGCACAAAATAGTCTTATGTCCTGAGAATGCTATGCCTGACCAGTTCTGATATGCAGTAAAAAGCACCACCTCTCAGAGGATGGAAAAAGACCGAGTCTCAGGCAGGTGCTACAGTGTGCTTACAAGGTGGAAGAGGCTAGATGTACAATGAGTTCATAGGTAGCCATCATGATAGCTGTGTTTGGAATTTGGCGGATCAAGTGAGCCAGGAGCCCTCGGTACAAAGCCAAGGGTCCCTCTTCATGGACCACAAGCTGCAGTGTCTGTATAAAGGAACGGTATCGTGACCCTTCTTCTCGCAATCGTGTCCGAATGACCTCTGGAGAGACAAAAAGGGAAGTGGTATTAGCAAGCTGATCCTACAGGCACAGCATCTCCCATCAAGGGGCACAGAAGCAAGGAGAGCGGACCCACTCACCATGTGGATATGCGATGCATGAAGCACATGTTTTGGAGACAGCAGCAGCTCCCATTAGTCCAAAGAAATCATGGCTGTTTGTTGACAGTGTGAGGGGTGGGGAAAGGGAATGATGGCTGTTCCTCAGCTGCTGTTTCAGCGCTTCATAGATGACAAAGTGGATGATGGTCTCTGACACTCCAGCGTAGGAGGCAGTGATACCGCGGTAAAACCCACGAAGGCCTTCAGTGCGGTACACGTGCACAGCACACTGGAGAGCATTGCTGGCCATCTCCCCCTTTGCCCTGTGAAAAGGAGGTGGGTGAGAACGGCACACTGCCCTACTGACCTAAAATGCTGTCGTGAACACAACTGTATGACTCTTCCCCAGCACACCTTGAAGACCTACATTCTGGAGTTAGGACCCCAACTCGACTCCACCCCCAAAACCAGTCCTGATTTGACATGGAATTACCTGGCTTCCAGCTGCATCCTGGTTTTCACTAACCAGATAGGGTTGGTGAGTGTGGAAGAGGTAATGCCTGGAGAACAGAAGAAAAAGACAGCCATGAGCACCAGGATCATGCTGACAGTTTGTAAAGAGGCACTGATCTATCAGCTCTCTGAATTCTGCTTGACAACCTGCAGGCATTTGCAATTTGAGACTGTCTGGTGGTAATTAGCTCCTCTGCCATCGATATAACCCTGCTACAGGCCCTGGTGCTACAAAGGGGCAGGAAACAATGGGCTAAACTTGCAAGAGTGGAAGATTTTGTTAGAGAAATGATCTTGTGAATGGTCTACATAAACACTGCCTTCTCCCTCTCACAGCTGAATGGAGCTCTTTTCCTGATCGCAGCTGAAGGGGTAAACACTAGATCCACGATTTAGAGATGAGCCTAAGAAGAACAAAGAATGAGAAAACATTTTGGTTACCCAAGGAACTCACTGTGCCAGGTGAGAAGGGAGAAAACTTCAAAAGAGAGAGCAGGACTGATGGGAACAGCAAAAGGGAAGGAATGAAACCCATTTACACGTACAGACAGAAGGACCCCTTGGCTCTGATCTGTAACAGAAGAGGCTCACCTGCACAGGCTGCTGATAGCATGTGTACTTTCTTGGACTCAGGTACAAGGACAGCATTGAGCCTCTCCTTAACACCAGAATAGGCAGCAAAATATATAGCCCTGTTTGGAAAGAAATACTGAATAGGTTATGGTTCATCTATGAGGTGCAGAGGCAGCACTGCTGTGGGGCTCTCACTCCAACTTCTCTTATTCCCAGCACAGGTCTGTCTAATGTGACATCAGATACCCTTTATACTAGACCCACAGCAATCATCTTATTTTACAACTATGATCAGAAGGTCCAGAAAATGTCTGTGTGAAGGGGTCCTTGGCACAATGAGCACAAGGCCAAGACTGCTTTCAGAATGTGGAGCAATAGCTATCACACGGGTCCTTAAAAAAAGTGTAAAAAAAAAAAAGCATGAGCTACCCTCAGAGAGCAGCACTCACCGGGAAGGAGCAACACCAACAAGGTTTGGACCCAGACCTCGGAACAGGGATCGCATACCTTCCTTCTCAAGGATGGCCCTGCAGAAGGGAAGGAAATGAACAGATAAATCATCAGAATAACTAAGCTGGGGGCTCTCCTGTTCTTCCTTCTTCTTCAGTACTTGTAGCATCCTCTCTTCACCTCCCATGTTACCTTTTCTCTGCCCTACTCTCATTTTCTCTCCAACCACTTCTCTCTCCTTCATTAATTTCTTCCTATTCTTGCTGACACTATCACTCTGGGTCTGATCAAACCACTAGCCAAGAAATTTCTCACAGTCCCAGAAGCTGCCTTGTAGTCTCAAAGCACAGATCAACTGTGAGAAGCAGATGTACCTGTGCTCTGATGAAACTTCCTACTGCACTTGTGGTTTCCAGAGCCTCAGCTACCACCACTCTCTCCCCCCCACCCCTCTTTCTCCACCTGATGGCCAAACCTTGACCTCCCTGGTGCTAACACATGCACTGCCCTATCCTACTCACCTTAGCAACTTGAACACTCCAGGAGATGATGGGGTGGGGTTCATCAGCCTCACACTCATCCCTGGCAGCTGCACCTCTGAGAGGCACAGAGGCCGCAATGTCAGCTGGGACGACTGCAGACGTGTCTTCACCACTTCCAAAGGGCAGGTCAGGATGGCTCCAGCTGTGCCACCACATCTAGGGCATGACAAGGGTATAACAGCACACATAAGAATAACCCCAGGGCAATAATTCTGACCCTACTTGTCCACAACCTCTCCCCTCTAGGAGAGGACATTAGGTTCCCCAGCCTTGCGTCACACATGACCTCGCGCTCTGACACTGATTAACATAATAATGGCTTAGCTTGGGACATCTCCTGGCAGCCTCACTCTGAAACCTCACTCATTATTTGAGACAAACAGTCCCAAGTCCATAAGGACTCAGCAGTCCCTCAGCTTAAAGCTGCTGATCTTTGCATTCAGAACTTCCCAGAGCAAACATTTCTGCTGCTCAACCTCACTGCAATGCCTTCTGCTGAGATCACCGGGCAACATGCCTCACACCTCCCCACAGCAGCACCGGCTTAGAGAGGGACAGCACAAAATTCTCCCACCCCTCAGCCTGTCTGGGTCTTCAACCATAACACATTCAGCCCCACATTTGCAAGGCCCTGTAAGCAAGATTCTGTATTTTCTGCCAACAGCCAGGCTCACCCCCGGCTTGACTTATTTAATGAAAGAAGACCCTGACCTTCAGCACACAGAAGCTATTTTTGGAACTCATGAACCATCACCATCAATCAGTCCAGCCACACCTCAGGAACGCTGAAAGGACACATATCCCCTCTTCCCCTTTCTGCTGCCCAGGGACAAGTCAGAACCAACATGTTCAGTTCTCAGTTTCTGCCCCTTCAGATCTTTTGACTGACAACTCTGTTCTTCTAGAGAATGCTCAGTACCTGAAAGATTGTTTTGAGATTAATATGCATGGAATAGCCACACAAGAGGCTTTGACAAACAGACAGTTGCTGATATCTGCTACAGCCAAACTTGCTTTGTTTCACAGAAGATGGAGGTTTAAAAAAATGCTCACTCTGCCCCAAAGAAATAAAAGCCAGCCAAAGAACTACAAGCTATCAGGGAAGAATCAAGTATTACATATGACGGTACAGGACAGCAAACAGCTAGAATTCTGAGGAATTACTTTGAAAACGTCTATATAGCTCAGCACACACATACAGTGCTCTCACAGTCTTCGCTACCAGGGCTTCATTTATTATTGCCTGCAGGTTGGGGGGGG